GAGCGTCGGTCTGCGGACTGAAAGGTCCCAGGTTCAATTCTGGTCAGGGGCATGTACAGTTGCGGGCACATCCCCCGTAGGGGGTGTGCAAGAGGCAGCTGGTTGACGTTTCTCTCTCATCGACGTTTCTATTTCTTCCTCTCTGTAAACAATTAATAAAATATATAAAAGTCATGCTCTGCCCTGGCCAGGTTGCTCAGTTGGTTAGAACGTCATCCTGATTTGCCAAGGTTGTGAATTGGATCCTGGGGTCAGGACAAAAACAAGAATCAACCAGTGAATGCAGTGATAACTGGAACAAAATCAATCAATCTCTCTCTTTCTCTCCCTGTCCCTTTCCCTTCCTCCTTCCCTCTCTCTCTGTCAATAAATACACACACACTCTGACAAGCAAGTATTTTTAACTCTATAAATTAACTATAGAAGGCAAAATAGTCAGAGAGGGAAGAACAAATAACAAATATAAGCTTAAATTTAGAAGCATACTAAAAGAGCCAAAAAGCTTAAAACAAGGGGAGGAGTATGAATAATACCAAGTCCAATATAAAAGTTTATAATTGTATTCCAAACATGAAATGTTAAGGAAAAGCAAAGGCCCACATCTGGCGATAGCTAGTATAATATTAACATTTGACAAATAAGTACTTTACTTCAATTTTATTCTTATTGCCTCTCTTAAGGAGAATGATCTTTAAATAATGAATGAAAAGCCAGACACAAAAGGGCACACACCATTCTATTTATACTAGAGGGCCTGGTGCACAGATTCCTGCACCAGTGGGGTCCCTCAGCCTGGCCTGTGGGGATGGGGTCAAAACAAGCTCTCCAACATCCTCCAAGGAGCCCCAGATTGCAAGAGGGTGCATGCCAGGCCGAGGGACCCCAATGGTGTATGATCGGGGCCGAGGAGGGACTGTGGGAGGGTTGCAGGGCGTGTCCAGCCCATCTCAACAGACCCCAGCAGCAAGCTAACCTAAGGGTCAGAGTGTCTGCCTTCTGGTGGTCAGTGCACATCATTACAACTGGTCAAACAGTTGAATGAACAGTTGGACACTTAGCATACTAGGCTTTTATTATATAGGATAAAGTTCAAAATATGCAAAATAATTCATAGAGTAACAAACCAAGATAATGGTCTTTGGGGGGAAGTAGTAATCCATAAGGGGCCTTAGGATACAGGTAATGTTCTTGATTTAGGAACTGGTTACACAGATGTGTTCACTTTGTGAAATTCATCAAGCTGTATACTTAAGAAGTGTTAACTTTTTTTGTATGTATGCTATATATTAATAAAAAGTTACAAAGAAAAAGAAAAGCTAAGATCAAAATGTTAAGATTGGCAAGGAGCTCACCTTACTCACTGTATTAGGTAGGCTAAGGCTTAGTTCACATCTCTGATACAAATGACCCAAGGATATGAAAAATGTTAAAAATATGACTACCCAAACATTGTTGTTAATTTATAAGTATCCATGAAGAAGTTAAGTAACTGAAAGAACAATGAAATTAGCAGATACTTTTCTTTTTCTTTCTTATTTCTTTTTTAAAAAAAAAAAGTTTATTGTTGAGAGTATTACAGATGTCCCCTTTCTTCCTTCCTATTGCTCCCCTACACCTAGTTCCCACCCCACTCCAGACCCTCACCACCCTATTATCTGTGTTCAAAGTCATACATATCCTATCTAATAAAGATGGATATGCAAACTGACCATAACTCCATGACAAAGATCGTAGCGCCCACAGCCAATTAGGAGGGAAAATGCAAATCGACATGACAAGGCAAGAGCCTGGAGCTAAGGTGGAAAGGTGGCTCTGGGCTGGAGGAAAGGCAGAACCGGCAGCCAGGAGAAGGAAGGCCGATTCTTGCACGAATCCTACTTAATAAGAGTAATATGCAGATTGACCATCATTCCGACACACAAGATCAAGATAGCTGCCCCCATGTGGTCAAAGATCCTGCCCCCATGTGGACACAAGATGGCCACCACAAGATGGCCAGCAGAGGAGGACAGTTGGGAAGGAACAGGCCTGCAAGGGAGGGCAGTTGTGGGTGATCAGACAAGCAAGGGAGGCAGTTGGGAGGCACCAGGCCTGCAAGGGAGGGCAGTTGGGAGTGACCAACCTGCAGGGGAGGGCAGTTAGGGGTGACCAGGCAGGCAGAGGAGGGAAGTTGGGGGCAAACAGGATGGCAGGAGAGCAGTTAGACATCAATCGGGCTGACAGGCAGAAGTGGTGAGGGCAATCAGGAAGGCAGGTGAGCAGTTGGGAGCCAGCAGTCCTGGATTGTGAGAGGGATGTCCGACTGCCCATTTAGGCCCAATCTCACTGGCTGTTGGGCATCCCTTAAGGGATCCCAGATTGGAGAGGGTGCAGGCCGAGCTGAGGGACATCACCATCCCCACCCCCACCCCCAACCCCGTGCATGAATTTCATGCACCGGGCCTCTAGTCTTCTATAGTATGCATATAAGATCTTTGGTTAATCTCTTCCTGCAACCCCCTCACCAATTCCCTCTGAGATTCATCAGTCTGTTCCATGCCTATATTTTACTCATCAGTTTATTTTGCTCATTAGATTTCTTGTTTAGTTATTTTGATTTTTTAGACTCAATTGCTGATAGATATGTATTATTGCCATTTTTATTGTTCATTATTTTTTATTTCTTCTTTCCCTTCCCCCTTTTCTTCAAGAATACCCTTCAACATTTCATTTAATACTTATTTGGTGATGAATTCCTGTAGCTTTTTCTTGTCTGTGAAGCCCTTTAACTGACCTTCATTCAAAATGATAGCTTTGCTGGGTAGAGCAATTTTGGTTGCAGGTCCTTGCTTTACATGACTGAATATTTCTTGCCACTACCTTCAGGCCCGCATAGTTTCTATTGAGAAATCAGCCAACAGTCATATTGGTGCTCTCTTGTAGGTAACTAACTGCTATTCTCTGGCTGCTTTTAAGAGTCTCTCTTTGTCTTTAACCTGTGGCATTTTAATTATGATATATCTTGGTGTGGGCCTCTTTGGGTTATTCTTGTTTGGGACTCCATGCTTCCTGGACTTGTTAATCTATTTCTTTCACTAGATAGGGGAAGTTTTCTGCCATTATTTCCTAAAATAGGTTTTTAATATCTTGCTCTCTCTCTTTTCTCTTTCTGGCACCCCCATAATGCAAATGCTGGTATACTTGAAGTTGTCCCAGAGGCTCCTTCCACTATCTTAATATTTTTATGTTTTTTGATTAAATAATTCTTTATTATTGAAAGTACTATTATACATATGTCCCACCCCCATTGACTCCCCTCTAGCTATCTTCATATTTGTTTATTCTTTTTTCTTTTTGACTTTATGATTGTTTTTTGTTTGTTTTTTGCAGCTCATATTCCAAATCGTTGATTTGATTTTCGGAATCCTCTACTATTGAATTCCTGTAAATTATTCTTTATTTCAGTTAGTGTATGCTTAATATCTGACTGGTCCTTTTTCATGTCTTTGAAATTCTAATATTCTTGTGAGTTTCACTAAGTCCTGTCAAGCTCTCATTAAGTTCCTTGAGCAACCTTATAACCATTGTTTTGACTCTGTACCCAGTAATTTGCTTGCTTCAATTTCTTTCATTTGTAACATGTTTCTTTGTCTCTGCATTTTGGCTGCTTCCCTGTGACTGTTTCTATATATTAGGTAGAGTGTTATGTCTCCTGGAATTGGTTAAAGTAGCCTGTGTAGTAGGTGTCCTGTAGGTCCCAATGACAGCCTCCCAGTCATCTGAACTGGGCCCTCCCAGTCATCTGAACTGGGCCCATTCACTTCTGGTAGGCTGTATGCACTGTCTTGTAGTTGAGACTTGATTGCTGTTGGTGTTACTGGGAGGAATTGACCTCCAGGCCAATTGACTGTGAGGACCAGCTGCATCTACAATGGAAGAGCTGCTGTGCAGAAAACATCCCTATGTATCTAATAGGGTCTGAAGCTGCCTACCAGGTGCACTGGCTCTGGGAGGTGCAAAGTTAGCTACTGCTTGGGGCCATCCGGCAGGAGTGACAAAGAGATCTGCAGATGGCTGCTATTGTATTGGGTTTGGAAGTGCCCAAATGAGACCCAACTGTGAAGCAAGACAGGCTGGTGCTAGTGCTGGGCCTACAGCCTCTTATGCTGATGCCAATTGCTGCTTGTTAGAGAGACTTGTAGAAAAATCTGAAGCCTGAACCAGGATAGACCATTCATATGGAAAAGCTGCTGCAAACAGCTTGGGTGGGGCTTCAAATTGGATAGATTGGGTTCTCAGGGAATCACCAGGGTGGAGTGAATAGTGTGGGCTACACTGTCAGCACTGCAATGGGGGAGATTCCAGAACAGGAACAATGAACCCTGTCCGGGAGAAAGCCACCCCTGAGTTCTTGCCCTGATGCCAGACAATCTAGTTCCTCCCCATAAGCCACTACCTGGCGCTGGAGCTCAGAGGTAGTAGGATCATGTAAGTTTGTGTGTCAGCTCTTTAAGAGAAACTTCTGGGTCTCTAGGAGCCTCCTTGTCACCCGCTGGTTTTTACAACCCAAAGTTATAGGGACGTTCTGAGCTGGGGGTCTGGTGTGGGGATGGCACCCCTGCTTGTCACAGGAGTCCTCTGCAGCCAAAATTTTAAAAACATGTCACACCCAGGTGTCAGACCAGCCCGTTCTGGGCCTCTTCCGCTCCTACCAATCTCGAAATACTTTCTTTACTTCTCTAGTTGTAGGATTTTCATTCAGCAACATTTATGAATAATGGTTGCTCTATATTTACTTGTAATTTTAATGTGGTTGTGGTAGGCAGCAAGTATTGGCATTTACCTATGCTGCCATTTTGATTCTCCCCCAGCTACTTTTCAAATTTTATAAAAAATGGTGTATTTTTATGCTATGTGGTCTTAGAAATGACCACTAACTTGCCATATTATTTTCATTATTCAAGTTATATAGAACTTTAACATTAGAAAAAATATCCTCATTACATGTAAATCATCCTTACCTTTCGTAGTTCAACTGTCACTTCATTTCTGTGTCTTCGCATTGTCTAAAAAGAAAAAGATTACATTAAGTATCTAAATATTGTTAGTATATAAATTAAGGTCTTAGGCAATTAAAATTTAAAATTTTTTTTGAGAATTGATCAGTTTTAGACTTTAAATAATAAACTAAAGGAAGTTAAAGCCAAATCTGTCTATGTTACTGGATATCTACTGGTTAATTATATGGAGAGTGAGGAGGTGTGGCTTGGCTGCCTTTCCATTCCCCTTTCCTAACTGCACCCAGGCTTACTATATAGAACTGTATACTCTCCCTTATGTAGTCTTGATGGAACTGCCTATTAATGAATCTCTACTAAGTTAGTAAGGCATGCGACTCAAACACATGAACAGAACTCTATTCCCCATAACTCTGCACCTTGAGATAAGTGGGAAGGAAAAATAGCAGCACTGGACCAGGCATAATAACGCCTATGTCCTGAACTTGGTCTATTTCTAGTTATCTGGTATGCCTATCCATAATTATGAACTACCCCATATTTTCCCAATAAATTATGGTTTTGCTTAAGTCAAAAGGACTGGTTTTTGATGTCTGCAACCAATAAAGTCTATCTCAAACAATTCATGTTTTTAAAAAGAAAACGACTCACTGTCATGGCCTTAAAAACCACAAGAAAATGAAAATAAGTTTGGGAAGATAGTTTGTATCAAAAGGTAAGAAATATCTTTTAATTCTCTAACAGTTTACCAGGCACATCTTATCAGAAATTATTGAAATGATTAGATATCCCCTCTTCCCTTGATGTACTGATATAATGAACTAGTGACCCAATGCATGGATTTGTGCACATTGAAAGGAAATTAATTAAAAGAAATACCGTATTTTCCGGCGTATAAGACGACAGGGTGTATAAGATGACCTGAAGCTACACTGTGTTCTAGTAAAAAGGTACAGAACATGTACACTGTGTTCTAGTAAAAAGCCTGCTCAGATTGTGTAGCTTTACGTTCAGAACATGTACACTGTGTTCTAGTAAAAAGCCTGCTCAGATTGGCCAGAATCAGAGAGGCGGTCTATTAAAAAAAGAACTGGTGTTGCCTCGGAAGTGGGGGGTAGTCTTATACAGCGAATATAGGCCTAAACCTATGTTTTAACTGTAAAATTAGGGGGTCGTGTTATACGTCGGAAAGTACGGTATATTTAAAAAAAAATACATTTTATTGATTTTGTACAGAGAGGAAGAGAGAGGGATAGAGAGTTAGAAACATTGATGAGAGAGAGTCATCGATCAGCTGCCTCTTGCACACCCCCTACTGGGGATATGCCCGCAACCAAGCTATATGCCCTTGACCGGAATAGAACCCGGGACCTTTCAGTCCCCAAGCCGACGCTCTATCCATTGAGCCAAACTAGTTTTGGCTAAAAGAAATATTTTAATATCGCTATTCCCTTTTTCTATAATAGAAGTGTCAATCAAATTCATGATTGACAACGACTGATCAAAACACACATGTGCGACTGGCGCCAGTGAGAGCTTTATATATAGGTAAACTTGCTTAATTAGACCTGATTTCTAATTTAGCTCAACTTTTTCCAGCCCAGTGAAGTACCCCAACTTCTCTTTCAGGTAATTATAACACAGCAGTAAACATCATCATGAAACAGATTATTATTATAGATGACACAAGAACAAAGGGTAAAACATTTAACTGCAGCAGTGTTTGATTATAGTCTGTGCAGTGAGAAAACCTAAAGTCATTATTAAGTTCCACCATTTCTTACTTCTTTTCATTTGGGTCAAGTTTCTAAGCTTTCTATATCTGTTTTCTGGCTAATACTAAGAAAATAGGATTCCAGCGAGTCTCCTATCTACTTCAGGACTTCTATGAGGATCAAATGAAATGGGGCACGAGAAATGCTTCACAGACATTTGGTAAAAGTGTGAAATGTTTGCACTGGCTATAAAGCAAGTTGTAGTCCTATACTGAAGAAACTGCAAGGAGGCTAATAGCTAGGGAGAAGAAAATGGGCGTTGCTATGTGACATCATTACCCGACACTCACAGCCACAGTCAGTTTGGGCTGTGGGCCGCATATTGCACCATGGGGTCTCAGCAAGGTTGGCTGTGATTTGGTGGGCTGTCGCTCTGGGGTGGTGGCAGGGCCTGTGTCCTACTTGGGGGAAGCCGAGTGTTGCTTTGTAGGTGGCAGGTCTGTAGTGCTGTTTCTACAAATGACCAGTGCATATCATATCAGGTCTGTAAATGACCAGTGCATATCATAGCAGCTCCTGCATTGAGCGTCTGCCCCCGGTGGTCAGTGCGTGTCACAGTGACTGGTTGAACACAACATATTAGCCTTTTATATACATACTAGAGACCTGGTGCACAAAATTCATACATGGGGGGGAAGGGTTTCTCCTCAGCCCAGCCTGCACCTTCTCCAATCCAGGACCCTTTGGGGGATGTCCGACTGCTAGTTTAGGCCCTGGGATCGGGGCCAGATATTTCATCTCACAATCCTGGACTGCTGGCTCCTAATCGCTCACCTGTCTGCCTGCCTGGTCACCCTTAATTTCCCCTCTCCCCGCAGCTGGCCTGGTTGCCCCTGACCCCTACTACTGGCCAGGTTGCCCCTAATTGCCATCAGCAGCCAGCTAAGTTACCCCCAACTGCCCCCTCTCTGCCAGCCTGGTTGCTCCTAACTGCCCGCCCCCCCCCCCCACTGGCCTGGTTGGCCCTCACTGCCCCCCTTGCCAGCCTGATTACCCCAAACTGTGCTCCCCCACCCCCCCACTAGCCTGGTCGCCTCCAAATGCCCCTCTCTCCCGGCCTGGTCACCCCCAACTACCCCCTCCTCCCCCGCCAGCCTGATCACCCCACACAGGCTACTTGTTCAGTTATTTAGTCGGCCCTCACTAATCCCCTCTGCTGGCCTGGTCATAGGCTGCCATCTTGTGAGGGTGTGAGGTTTAATTTGCATACTACCTCTTTGTTATAAAGGAGATATATATATTATGTAACTTCACTACATATACTAGAGGACCAGTGCATGAAATTGGTGCAAGAATAGGCCTTCATGGCAAACACGTGGATTCAAGGGAGTTCTTCAATCATCCACGGAAAGGTCAGAGTTTGCGGAGATAGCGTGAAGGTTCTGGGTCCCGACAGTAGCCGCGGAGCTCCCGTGAGGCCCTGCCTCCACTGTAGCTGCGGAGCGCCGCGCGGCAGCCCGTGCCAAGCTGCGCCAAAGAAGGCCTCAGTGAGAATCCTGTTCGGTGACACCCAATGCTGGGTTTGGCGTAATCTTCCCCAGAAGCAGGACTTTTTTAAAACGCCAGGGGACACGGGACAGATTATTAAGAATCGCGGCTGTCCTGCCAAGGGCGGAACATCTGGACACCTTGGCACCTGATCCTCTTCACCCCTTTGCTTCTGAATACTAGGGAAGGACTGCCCAGTTGGGCATATCCGGGGAAATTGCAGGGGGAAATTGCCTTCCTGGAAACAAGGGATCGAAGCCAGAAGAGAGAGTCTGGAAGCCAGTTGGCACTCTGACAGCTAGAGCCATAGAGGAAGAAGGCCAGAGCAACCTAAAGACTAGGAGGTCAAACCGGAAACACTGCCACTAGGGGCTGAATTACAAACTGCCTTTTTTTTTTTTTTTTTTTTTTACTTTTAATTAATCAAAAATAAATGGACACAAATAACTAAGATATAGCCTACTTAAAATTAAGGACTACCTTACAAAACTGAGGTGCAGTGGAATGCTGGGAACTGCAAGACTGTCTGGTCCGAGAATCAGGTGTGCCAAATACAATAACAGAGGAAGTGAATGACCACTACTGGACATTTTTATGCTAATTTCACTATTCTTTATTTTATTTTCAATTTTTACATCTTTTATTTAATTTTCATTTTTTATATATTTTACTTAAGAAACGAATTTTTTTTCTTTTTTCCTTACTTGATTTTACCTTTTCAATTATTAATTTTTCAATCTCACTATTACTGCTGCTATTTTGCAATTTTTGTTTCTTTTTCCTTTTTCATTTTTTCCTCTCCAGTACCATTTTATTTTTTCTTTATTTTACATTGGGAGTAACCTTCATTCTATTTTAATCTCTACTATAGCATCATTCAACCCAATCTCAACTCGACCTTTACACCATCACTCTCTTACTAAACTTTACCCTTTTAGTCTCCAGTTTATCCTATCCCTTTCCAGCTTTAGTTTTTCCTCTATTCTTTCTGTAAACCCCCTGCTAAAGCTCTCACTATACTTATAGACCTAAGTTCCAACCCCTGATCCAATTGTATAAATACCACTCTCTGCACTATATTAACTAGTTAAAAACAAAAACAAACAAAAAAACTGTTCTCCTCTCTATCCTTTTCTCATTGTTTGTGTGAATGCTGATTATTGTGAATTTTTATGCTTTTTAGTGAAATTGTTATGCCTATTCCTGTGTTGTTATTGTTACTTTGTATTTTTTTTAAAAATCCTCTGTTTTTGTTTGTTTATTACTTCTGTATACCATAGCCTTACTTAATAATAGTGGATATTGTAGTTTGTATTAATCTCCAAGTATTGTTACTGGCATTGGCTGGGTTTAGTGGTTGTTCTATGGGAATTTTCTCCATATAGTTTGTTTAGTTTGTTTCCCATTCCTCTTTTAGTCTGCTTCTTTTCTCTCTCTCTCTCTCTCTCTCTCTCTCTCTCTCTCTCTCTCTCTCTCTCTCTCTCTCTCTCTCCTCCCTGTTTTCCAACTTCATTTTGTCATTACTTTTTTTCTTCTTTTTCTATCTCTTTATCCCTCTTCTTTTATTTACTTATTTTATTTATTTTTTAAATTTTTCTTTATTTTATTTTTACCTTTCTTCCTTCTCTCCTATCTCCTAATTTGCCTTTGTCTAGTGGTCACCTTTATTAGAGGTTATTAATATTGTAAATACATTCCTGTTAGGTGCCTCTTGTGTTGTACCTGGTAGTGTTGTATTTTATACCTTTAAATTAACGCAGAAGGAACACCACATAACCAGACATT